CCTCTGGAGAAAACAGTGGACTCTGTCATTATACCCTGCTGAGGTCACCACAGCAAATTGACACTGTTTGCCCAAAGCCAGAGCACTCCCCCAGAGCCTCTTTCTAGATCCCGTTGTATTGCTTTCACAACGGGCTTTACTGCTAGTATATAATAAAGGGCTTTGTAAAGTCAGGAGCCTTCAAGGCTGGCTCTGTAGTTAATATCTGAGGTGCTCAAAGATGGTTTGGCATTTAGGAGTCTATTTTACCCTGTCAGGTAAAGTCTTCTTGGTAGGTTTACACAATGGAGCCGCAATGGAACTAAACTTGGGAATGAACCTTTAATAATATCCCACAACTACTATAAAGGCTGTAGGGATCTAGGCCATGCTTGTATAACTTGCACTTTGCTCCAGTCTGGCTTTATTGCCCCACCTCCAAACTTGGTGCACAGTTATTTGGCTTTTTGAGGCTTTCACTGTTATATCAGCCTCCTTTGTCCTTTGGAACACAATGGCTAGATACTGTAGATGTTCTTTCCTGGTTTGCTGAAGATCGCAATACCATCTGTATATGCAAGTGCAAAATCTTTTAATCCTATCAACAGTTTATCAGTCAGCCTCTGGGATGTGGCTGGGCGTTCCTAAGATGGAAAGCCAAAACGGGAACTCAGAGTCCCTCTGTGATTACAAAGGCTGTTTTGGGTTAGTATTTAGGACATATGGCCACCTGCCAATACCCTTTTGTCAAGTCCAATATAGAAATAATTTGCAGCAGCAATTGTTTTGAGTAATTTGTTCACCCTGGGCATAGGATATACACCCGGGACCATCTTATTCAGTTTCTATAGTCCACACAAAATCTTGCCATTTGATCCAATTTTGGAACTAAAATACCTGGTTTCCTGAAGACCTCAACACTAGTGCTGTTTATGAACAATCAAAAACCTGCATAAATTTGTGACTATAATTTTTAATGTGTAATGCTTGCTCAGTATCCGTGGTTGTTATTTGCACGTATGTATGCACGCACACATTCTTCCTCTTCTGTAGCTGGCCAAAATTTTAATCCTGCTGCCCTTTTAGGCTGAACCTGTTCCTGTCAACAGTTATATATCTTGACCTTGGTTACTGATGTTTTTCCCCCAAGCTCTGAGTAGTTGGAATCTATATTATTAAAACCCACTTCTGCTTGTTCAGGGGTTCAAAGCAGCTCCCCCCCTCCACTTAATTCCCACAACAACAACCCTTTGAGGATAGGTTAGGCTGAGATATAGTGATGGGTCCATGGTGACCTGGTAGGCTTCCATGGTTGAGAGGGGATTTGAACCTGGTCATCCCAGGTCCCAGTCCCACACTTTGTCTACTGCACCACACCAGCCTAAGACAGGCATGACGCCTTAGGAAATAAAGCAAGGACCCTCAAATTTGGCCTCTGACATCAGGATGATGACAGAAATTGCTGTGCTAGAAGTGATGAAAATCAGAATACCACGGCCCAGGTTATTGTCAAACACACACACAGAGTTTTTACTGGAAGGCATGGTTGACTGTTCACCCAGAAAAATGGTTGGAGCCTCAAAATTGGCCACTGGCTTCAGGTTGATCATGGGAATTGTAGAGCCAAGACTCAAGGAATCTGAACATCCTGGCCCTCGCAATCCCCCATAACACCCATCCTTGCTTTTTTCCATTGGAAGGTATGGTTGTCTGAGATAGGGATAAGTCCACAGAAACTAAAGCTAGGAGCCTCAAACAGTGGGCACTGTCTTCAGGGTTGTGGTGAGACTTGATAGACGTTGGACCATCCTGGCACAGATTAGCTTCACAGCATCCCTCTGCTATTTGCAGTGGAAGCAAAGGTTTGCTCACCAGAAGTCAGTAAATGCCAGCCAGGGAGGGTGGAAAATGTCACCTCTGTGGAAAAGCATGGAGGATTTAACCACTTGCCTGATCTGTGAAAATGCACAGGGGATTTAACTATTTGCCTGATATATCAGAGCTTGTATGGAGTAGTGATTTGAATGCTGGGCTAGGATCCAGGTTCAAATCCCCACTCTGCCACAGGAGGTTGCTGACTGACTTTGGCCTATTTGCACCCTGTCAGCTGGACTCTCCCTCACAGGGCTGTTGTGAAGGCAAACTGGAGGGGAGGAGAACAATGTAAGTCTCTTTGTATCCCCGTTGGAGAGAAAGGCAGCACAGACAGGGAGGCTGGAAAATATTCCCTTCTTTACAAAACAAAGAGTGTTGAAGCATTTTCCTGAGGTAACAGAGCCAGTGTAGTTTAGTGGGTAAAGTATCTGACTAGGATCTAGGAGATCCAGGTTCAGATCCCTACTTAGTCACTGGACGTTGCTGGCTGTGCTTGGGCCAAGCATTCATTCTCAGCCTAACCTAACTCCCAGGGCTGTTCTGAGGAAAAACGAAGGAGAGAATGAGGTAAGCAACTTTGAGTCCCTGTTGGGGACAAAGGCAGGGTATGACATTTATTATGAGTCTAATTTTGCCTACAATTTGCCAGGAAAGGATGATCTCTGAGGCTGCTGCTTCATCCAATATTGCCGCAACTCTTGTCAGGAGGCAGAGCTAGGGTTGTCAACTCCAGGTTGGAAAATTCCCGGAGATTTGGGGATGGAGCCGAGGGAGGACAAGGTTTGGGGAGGGACCTCAGAGAGGTACAGTGCCATGAAGTCCACCTTCCAAAGGAACCATTTTCTCCAGGGAAACTGAACCCTGTAGTATGGACATCAGTTATAATTCCAAGAGATCTCCAGGCCCAATATGGAAGATGGCAACCCAGGGGGAGCTGTTCATTCGGTATTGAAACTACCATTATATATTTCAAGTGGAGTGAGTGTACACTCCTCCAGTGTTTATAATTCTTCAGCAGCCCAGGACATGAGGGCTCACTTCACTAGGCAGAAGCCAACATTTTTGCAACCCTAGCAGTTCAAAAGCAAGAAATTGCAAGTAGATAAATAGGTACCACTTCAGTGGGAAGGTAACAGCGTTCCGTGCGCCTTGGTGTTTAGTCATGCTGGCCACATGACCACGGAAACGTCTTCGGACAGCGCTGGCTCTTCAGCTTTGAAACGGAGATGAGCACCGCAACCCTAGAGTCGGATTTGACTGGCTGTCGAGCAAGGGAACCTTTACCTTTACTTACTGTCAAGATGTGTAAATCTGCAGTGGTTGTGTGTGTGCATTGGTGCAGTTTCTTTTGGCAGTATATGTAATTTGGCTTACTTAACACAGCCACTTTTTTTTAATCTCCATATTCTGTACTTTCAGCAGTCATAGTAGATTCCTTAAAATACTGTCCAATGCTTGCACTGATCTTGTCTATAGACATCAAAGTAAATCAAATAATACTTGGTGCAGGTGACTGTATTATATGCTTTTAGATTTTTGTTTTTTTAAATTATTATTTGAACTTTCAGTCCTGCCTCCTCTCCTACCTATGGGCTTTTATGGGCAGGTTACAAATGGATCAAAGGATACTTAACAATACAAGATGATAAAATATATATTTAAAAATCCAAAAACATCACAGCAGGCAATCATTAATGTAAGGCACAAAACGAAAGTTGACATAACTGGGCTGGCACTATTATAGATGTTTTTCCACATGGTGTCCGGGGCACTGTGATGCCTAGCCGTGTGTTTTCTGGTGCCCACTGGCTGCTTGCAGACAATATGCAAGGGGAGTGAAACATAAAGAAACGGAGAACTTCACGTTGCTTCCTTTGAACTGACTAGCAAAGTGCTGAGCTCATCCCAGGCATGCGTATTGCAGCCATGTGCCCTTGACTAGTTAATAGATGCAAACTTTGTAGTGTTGGGTTGGGAATCTCTTCTTGTATCTGGGCAGAAAACAAACACTCCCCTTTCTTTGAAAACAGAAACTAAAGTCTTCCCCAAAGCAAAGGTTTGGTTCTGATTTTCATCTACTTCCTTGGTATAAGAGGGTCCAGGGGGATCCTTCTTTGTTCAGCACGAAGTGCCCATTTGGAGACAGCTACCTTAGTTGTGAGATGATTGGCTTGGAATTTCCCAACACTTTATCATTTCTTCCCCCATGCCAGCCACTTTATGGTACTGTCTACTTCCTTTCTCAAAATTCCAGAAGTACCCACTTGCTCAGCAATGCCAGAAAACCGTGTACCATTGGAAGAAGCTGTGTGCTGTTTTCACTTCCTTCCCTTCATCTCTTGCATGTTCTTATTTCTGTGAGTTGATTCACATTTAGTGCAGACCGCAGATCTTGATTGAGATACGAAGAAAAATTATGTGTTGGAATGCACTACCGCCCTGTCAAATGGAACGCACTTCTGTTCAAGTGAGGAAATCTTTACAGCTTCCCCTGCCCACTGCATTATTCCAAGGAATGCTCTGACTCCTAGAACCAATGTTTGGGTGGCAGGAGGAAAGAAGAGGCAGGAAAATGCTGTTCTGTGTGCTCCACTTGTAGTTCTCTAGAAAGTTGAGTAATGTTAACCTTTAACACAGTCCAAAACTCTGCAGGAAAACAATGTTCTCTTCAAAAGGCACAACTCTTTGCACACACAGGGACTTCCATTGCTTACACTGAGGCTTCCCCTTCTCACAGGAGAGAATAAGGAGTCTCCTTCATGCACAGGCGAGGAACTGTGCACAGGCACAGGTCATGTGTGGAGTTGTATGTGCATGCAACAGGACTTGTCTGCCCTGATACTTCTGACTTCCAGTACACACCTTCCCTTGCTACCTGCTTCTGGAGGTTCAAGAATCTTCCAGGAATCAAGGTAGTACAAAGACCTGCAATTCAAAACAGAAATTAGTAACGCCTGATTCCCCCCCCCCTTTCCCCAAAACAAATGGTCACAACCATACAGCATTGCACATCTGAGATGCTGGATTGTCCGATATTTTGTAATCTAATTCTTACATTAAAAGCAGAGAGGAGGAACATAGATACAAATTCAGTTCTGTGTTTAGTCAATGATGGAATGTCCCCTTTCTCTTGTTTATTCACTTAGGGTCCACTTCCTAACACATGTTGCCATTTCTGGTTAATGGTATGGCAACAGAAGACCAAAGCAGTTGTCATGTTAAACAGAATTGTTGAGAAAGATTCGGTAAGTTGCAGTAGCTACTTAACATTGTGCACGAGAAATGGACGAGATTAGCACCAATAAATTGTGGCATACAGGTCTGAGCTTGAGCTTTCCAGTGACTTAAAAGCCAACATTCTTAATAGATTTTTAAAATCATATTTGTATACTTTTGGAACTACAAAAGTTCATAAAATGTAAGGGCTAATGTTAATTAAGGGTAGTGTAGTGCAGTCCACAATATTTGCAGCCACTTAGAGATTTCGAAAAATGTGGAGAAAAGTCAGTGCATATGAATGGCTGGTTATACCAGTATATGTAAGTGATGTTGAGGAAAGTCATTACAAAATATAACTGAATAGCATATTAAGAATTCTTCTATGTACTGGCAAATATACAATATGCATGCACGTCCTGTTATATAAACCACTCATGTTTTAAATGACAGCGTTTGTCTTTTTGGTAGATCATAAGGTTGTATTCATCCAAATATAATGCATTCCTACAGCCTAGATATAGGTTATAGCATCATGAGATTTCTTCCCGAAAAAGCCAATGCTGGGGTCTGGACTTAGTGTATTCTTTTGAGTTATGCTCTTTTGCTGTGAATCAATATCTGTGTGTGTCATATTTTACTTGACAAATTCTTTATTATAATTCTCTCACTTTACAACAGGTAAAATGTGCTCAGTACTGGCCCACGAAAGAGGAGGACATCATGATGTTCAAAGAAACAGGATTTTGTGTGAGGCTAAAATCTGAAGATGTTAAATCCTACTATACAGTACGACAACTTCAGCTAGAAAATATCAGTGTAAGTTTTTTCTTCCTATTGCTTTCCTATTGCAGTTTCTCTCTAGGACCTACAATGTCCTTTGATGCAGAGAGAAGTGATTTTGATTTTAAGCCTCATGAAAAAAATTGGATCACCTGACATTTACTTTAATGTTAAAAAGCAGCCACGGAGCACACAGTTTCCCTGTGAGACATCTCCCACTCGAGATTTCGTGATATTTGTCTTGGTAGGGTAAAAGGACCCTGACCTGTATAGCCCAGGCTACCCCAATCTTGTCAGAGCTCAGAAGCGAAGCAGGGTCAGCCCTAGTCAGCGTTTGCATGGGAGTCCACCAAGGAAGTCCGGGGCCACTACACAGAGGCAGACAATGTTTCTTTGAAAACCCTTATGGAATCGCCATAAATTGGCTGTGACTTGATGGTGCTTTTCACCACCAGGATAAAAAGTCAAGAACTTGTTGCTGCCCACCCTCCCCCTGGACTAATGTCCAGAGATGCTGTGTTCTGTCAGGAAATTATGTGGGGGAAGAGTTAACCACCAGTGCACTGATGTTGGATCTAGATTGCTGCCTCTCTTCGCTAATGTTAATCATCTCCAATGTGTAGTTGGAGAACATGACCTCCCCTTTATTTAGAATGAAGAAAATCATTAGTTTTTTCCCCCTTTGGTCTCAACTTTTCCCTCTTACTTTGTTTTTATTTCTGCAGCTTTCCCATACAGTTCTGAAAACATAACACAATGGGTGTGATGGGGGTACAAAATCCTTGTGGAGGAAGAGCTTCTTCCAACTTTCCCCTTTCTTCCAGCAACTCCCCAAGATCTCTGAAAAGCCATGACTGAGAGATTGGGGGAGGTCTTTTGAACAAAATGCCATGAGACACAAGAAATGGCAGCAAGAAGAGAAGCACAACAAAACTGCCTACAGTTTTTTCCGCTGATGGTGCTTTCTTGTGGTGCAAGAGGGGGAAGAGGCAATTTCACTTGATTCCGCCTCCTCACTGCAGTCCCTTTCATGTCTTGGCATTATGTCTCCCAGCCTCAAGCACTGGCTTTTGGGGGAGGGGAGTCTTATGTGTTGCTGGGGACGGAGAAAGTAGAAATATCTGCTTGAGTGCCTTCTGCTTGACTTTTTAGAAAGCTGTAGGGCTTGATCCTGTTACAAAGGCTAACTTTTTGCATAAGCAAGTAAGAGTCATTTGAATTTCAGTACAAATGCTACCCCTGAGCCTTCCTCAAAAAAGCTGCTGTTTAGCCCTGACCCGGATAGCCTGATCTCATCAGATCTGGGAAGCTAAGCAGAGCCGACCCTGGCAAGTATTTGGATGGGAAACCTCCAGAGAGTGTTTTTTCCTCATTTTCTCCTGGACCTTTGTTCACATGTATGGAATTAAATGTATCCCAGTTGACTTCTCCAATTTTTATCTTGTCTATTTTCCTCTTTAGAATGGAGAGTGCAGGATGATATTCCATTTTCATTATACTACATGGCCAGATTTTGGAGTTCCTGAGTCCCCAGCTTCATTCCTCAACTTCTTGTTTAAAGTCAGAGAATCTGGATCTCTGAGCCCTGAGCATGGGCCTGCAGTCATTCACTGTAGTGCTGGAATAGGGCGCTCTGGTACATTTTCATTGGTAGATACGTGTCTTGTCCTGGTAAGTTTGTCCCCATACCCAAGAATTGCCATTCACATACTTCAGTGAGCAAACAAAATTTGGGGTCTCTCTTGGGGGGAGGGAATCTTTATTTCTGAATAACTGAATTTTCACTGTAAATATAAAATAGCGTAAGTTGTCCCATTTTCTCATCCCTCTGTACCGGAACAAATTAAAGTCCAGAGATCCTGAGCAGGCATACAGTGCACTGTATATTCTGTAAACATAGATGTGAATATAATTCCATTGACATTCTTGGGAGGAGGTTAAAAAAGGCCACAGAAGTGAGGGCAAGAAGTACATTCTGTCTTGTTACAGCTCATGTTGTGTCAGCTGTTGCTATAAATACTGCTTCAACCAATATGAGGCTTGTTCAAGAACATGAAGGAAAAACTCCTGTATTTCACTATTCTGTCCCGTCTGTGCTTGCTGCTTGCAAGGCAGGCAGGCTTGATGTCCTGAGTTTCATGGAGAAAGCAAAAATGTACCATTTTCAGAGTTTCTCATAAATGGGGAAAGTTGGATTATATTTGTATAAAATTTGAGGTTTCTGTCTCCTTTGGAAGTTTTATAAATGGTTCAGTATTCTACCAGTGAGAGTGCAAGTGAGTCAGTCCAGTCCAGCTTTCTTTATTTAATTAACCATTGCATTTTGATATAAAGTAGGGTTTGCCAGCATGAGGTTGGCAACTGGTGGGAGAGTGACCTTTGGCATGGGCCCTTTAAGGGTAAAGGTAAAGGTTTCCCTTGCTCGAAAGCCAGTCGAGTCCGACTCTAGGGTTGCGTTGCTCATCTCCGTTTCAAAGCCGAAGAGCCAGCGCTGTCCGAAGTCGTTTCCGTGGTCATGTGGCCGGCATGACTAAACACCAAGGCGCACGGAACCCTGTTACCTTCCCACCGAAGTGGTACCTATTTATCTACTTGCAATTTCTTGCTTTTGAACTGCTAGGTTGGCAGGAGCTGGAACTAGAGACGGGAGCTCACTCCGTCATGCGGCACACTCGGGTCTCAAACTGCTGAACTACCGACCTTCCACAGCCTGCAGTTCAGCGTCTTAACCACTTGAGCCACTTTACTGGTGATGTAATCTGAGATTCTAAAATCAGATCTGAGTTGGTGGGCCGCTTCTCTTGCATCCCTCTTTACAATGATAGATAGAACTGGCCTTATTCCTAATGCATGGCTGAATGCAATAGTGGTCCCGATATATAAAAAAGGCGATCATACTATTCCTGCCAATTATAGGCCGATCAGTTTACTTTCTATGATGGGCAAGTTGTATACGAAACATTTATTAGCCAAGCTTACTTTCTGGATGTCGCAGTAATGACTTTGTTGTCAACACAATGACATCACTTTTGCTGCAACCAGAAGTGACATCACCTGCAACCATTGAGTTCTGACTGAATGCTAGAGTGTTGTCGGTGACTAAATTATGTCACTTCCAGTTGTGTTAAAAGTGATGTCATCACATCAAGACACTAGCAGTTGCCCTCCGTATTTTCACCCAGCCCCAGTTTTGTCCTGCCATTTACCTGAGCAGCAATAGGAAGGCTCAGACGGGGTTGGTAGATCTCCTGCCTGAAGTGGGAACCTGGCAACCCTGTATAACAAATAATTAACTGAAATACAGGAACAAATCACTTGGTTTGAAAGTAGCTTCCATGTGTCCCTGATCTGTTGCAGCTAATAATATTTTTCTCTTGCAGATGGAAAAAAGGAAAGACCCATTTTCTGTAGACATTAAACAAGTATTACTAAATATGAGGAAATACCGAATGGGACTTATTCAGACTCCTGATCAGCTAAGATTTTCATATATGGCTGTAATAGAAGGGGCCAAATATATAATGGGTGATTCTACTATACAGGTAAATGTTTAGAGTCAATCTCTCACTTTTTGAAGCATTTGTAATAGAATTATGCAGGGAATTAAATTAAGGTGTTCTTAGGTCTGTTTTGCATTTCAATTGAAATAGTAAGCTATTCTTTGTCAGGTGGTATTTGCACCTTTTCTGGTTGAGTGATTGTTACTTTATTGAGGCAACCATGTTCTTGTTGGACATTAAATTATGATGTGAAATAAAGAGATCCATGGCAGCTGGCAGACTTCACTTGTCTCATCCAAGACTTTATGTGAGTACACCTTTGACAAGTATGTGAAATAAGTCTGATATGTAAAATTACCTTAGAATCACTGTAATTATCTAATCTTCCCTCGTCTTCTGCCTTTATAATTAGTGTCAAGTTATAGTACATATGAAACACCTGGTAAAATGTAGGGATACTCAGCTTGCTTAGTTGTCTAGTTCTAGCCCTTCTAGTATTCTTCTGCTCTGTCAAGGTTTCTTGGGTCCAGCATCATGGGTTGGATTCAACCAGCTTTTCCACTGGTGAAAATGAAAGGGGTCCATTTTGACCAAAAAAATGCTTGGGATTATGGGACCTGCATGGTCAAAAGTCATGTGGGATGAGAGTTGTAGTGAGTAGAGAAGAAGAAGATTGGATTTATACCCCGTCCTTCACTTAGAGTCTCAGAGCAGCTTACAGTCTCCTTAACTTCCTCTCCCCACAACACACACCCTGTGAGGTAGGTGGGGCTGAGAGAGCTCTTTCGAGAACTACTCATGAGAGAACAGCTCTGAAAGAACTTGTGGCTGACCCAAGGTCACCCAGCTGGCTGCATGTGGAGGAGTGGGGAAATCAAACCTGGTTCTCCCAAATTAGTCAGCCTCTCTTAACCACTACACCAAACTGGGCAGAAACCACAAAAATGCTGTTCAGTTCATGGTTCGTGGGCGAACTACGAGCGCAGTCAGCTTGAATAAGAACTGAACTGAGCCACAGCTCAGCTGTTCAAAGGGGTTTTCTTGGGCAGCCAGCCCCAGGCTTGGAGTCATTTAAACCCCCGTTTTCTGCTCCCTGTGGCTTTTCGTGGGGAGCAGAAGCCAGTGGTTTAAATGGCTCCCAGCCGTTTAACTGAAACAGGGGAGCTGTTTTTCATGAAGAGCAGAAAGCAGGGGTTTAAACCTCTGCTTTCTGCTCTTCATGAACCACCACGAACGCCATCAAAATTTATCAGAGTTCATGGTGGTCCTTCAGTTTTGTGAACATTGCTTCATGAACCATCTGAAATTCGTGATGAACTTTAGTTCGCCAGCTGGTTTGTGCCCATCCATAGCAGTGAGGATGGTAATTAGGTGAGATTGCATGAGAAAACAGGAGACAGCTCCTTGTCTCTTACTAATCTTTTTATAAGAGATTCCATTGACGTTCCTAGAAAGCACAGTTCTTGACATTTATTTCTGAACATTGCTTCCGTTGGGGAAAAATTGTCACTGCACAGGCTTGTCATGCTGCATTTGTAATACCTTATATGAATCAGTTGTAAATAACTTTGTGCTTAATGTGATAAAACCAAACACCTCTAATATAAACATTCTCTAAATGCTCAGAAAATTAATCTGTCTTTATGTGGTTAGTGTTATAGCAGTAATACCAAGGGACACATCTGAAATGATAAAAATATTTGGGTGGTGTTTCGAGAGCATGCTGGCGTATAATCTGAATATATGGAAGATGTGTTCCTTGGCCAAAAATCTAGGGAGGTAAAACTGTAAAAAAAGATTCTTCCTGGTCTTGGTGCGTCACACTAATTGTTTCTGTGCCTGTACACAGCCATGATTTGGAAACTTTTAGAGCTAGTTTTTAGGTGTGAAAATCCTCTTCCCCCACAGATGCAGCTCCCAAGGGGGATGAGTTGCACCTTTCTGCTCAGTTCCCCTTTGTCTCCTACAGCAGAGCTTGGGACTTCTGTTCTGAAATTAAATGTTCATAATTAGCCTTCTATTTAGTATTTATGGTTCTATATAGTTCTTCTTCTGTTGTCACTGCTTATGGTGCAGAAAACAACTTTCAGACACCAGCAGTATAACGGAAAGCTCTTTTGTGCTTGGGCACACAGCATATTGTAAATGCTTGTATCCATTGCCTGATATTTACAGAACAAATGATATGAATGCACTCTTCCTGGCTCTTCATTGAAAGAGCTCTGGCTACCTCTGTGGAGAAGGCCAAGGTGTCAGTCTCAACACATGCCTCTTTGGCAGCCCCCTCCATACTGACTTTGGCTCCAACTGTTGTTGAGGCCATGCCCTCCATCAGCCTCTTATTCTAGTGGCGCTGCATCCCAGTCACTGAAAACCCACAAGAGGTGGACTTGTTCTGCAGAGCTGGTGAAGAACAGCCACAGGTAATCTAAAAGGGTTCTTGAGATGAGTATTTTTGACTCCATTTCTGTCACCTACCATTCTGCAAGGTTTGGTCTTGATGGTACAGTAGACTCCAGTGGTTTCTGATACCCTCAAGCCTACACCAGTCTTAAACATTTACTTGAATGCTGTCCATTCCTTGAACATCTATTCACAGGGAACCTTTTTCTCCAGCCACTGGTATCAGTGTTGGAGGAGCAACTTGAGGACTCAGCTAAGGCTCCTCCATGCTCTCTCCAACTATTGGTACGGATCTCGCTGTCACTGAGATTCACATTCATACCAATGCTTCTCCAGGAGCTCCTCATCTGAATCCTGAATATGATCATTATGATTGGATTGCCAAGCTAGTGAACATAACTTGCACAAATTTTGCCCAACATTGCTTAGATACCCTCTATTCTAGGAAGAATGTATAATGTCAGACCACTGGATGCTCACAGTTGTCAGGATGGGATATGCCATATTTGCTTCCCATGTCCAGATGTGCTCCACCTGGCAAGACAATCTACTCCAGATTCTGAAAGGGGCCTAGGGTACTTCTTGTACTTCAGAAAGATGGAGTTTTTTTGTCCTATTCTTGACTTCAGGAGTATCAGTAAGTACATTCAACCCTGGAAGACCCAGATGGCCCTAACATACATCTTTCATCTTCTGACACTAGGAGCCTAGCTCAGTTCTCTCAGAGATGCCCATTTCCACATCTCCATCTCACCTTCCTCCTCTTTGCTGTGAAAGGTATTGATTACCAGTATAATGTGTTTCCCTTTGGCCTGTTCAGTGTCCCAAGGGTTTTCACCAATTGCATGGCAGTGATTGTAGTACACCTTCTGTGCTGAGAGATGACTGACTGACTGGCATCTCACTAGGCCTTCTTATCTTTCCTTCTTTCATCAGGTGAGAATAACTGCATATCCTGTCCTCACTGGGGCATCAGGTGGAACGGAGAGGCCATATCCTTACCCTTTAAGAATTCTGTACCTATGAACTGCAGAATCCTTAAGGGGTAAGGATGCAACCTTCCATTGGAAAAAATTGTTCACACCTGATGGATTCCATCTCTGGGAGAGCATTCCCTCCACTAGACAGGATCAACACCATCATCTGCCTTGCATCTTGACCCCCCCACCACCACCACAGTTGCAGGAGGAGAGACAGGTCTAACAAGAAAGGCAGACTATAAATACTGTAAATAAATACATCTCACCAGCTTTTAAACCTCTTTAGGGTTGGTTCAACTAGACCTTCTAGCTCCAGTCTCTTATTCTCAGGACAGGATCCTGGTAATACCTGTGCCAATGCTGTGGTGGACCCACTGTTGCAACAGATTGTGTAAGGGAAACACCACAATCTTTTATCATATCTGACTCCTACATCTGATGTCTCCCTCTGGGAATGGGGTGCACACTGTGGCAAAGACACCATCAGTGGTCCCCACGAGAAAAAAATCGCCACATCGGCCATTCAGAAGTTCAAATGGTTCACAAATCACGTCATTGCTTTCTTCCCAGGATACAGGCAAAAGTAGTAGGCAGCTGTAGCTTACACAACCACCATGTACTACACTGAGAAGTAGGACAGTATTTTCCAGCCTGCTGTCTGTGAGATGCATCAAGTACAAAATCACCCATATTGCCACCCTTGTCACAGATGAGAGCAACACTCTTTTAGATGCCCTCAGTTCCCAAGGGACTGTGGCACAAAAAGCAGACCTTGAATGACAGGTTACCTACAACCAAATCTTTACTTGTTTTATTTTTTACAAAATTTATACCCCGCCTTTCTGCCCTCACGAGTGCCTCCAAAGGCAGCCAACAAATTAAAACATACATGATAAAATTAGCTTTTAGAAGCATTAACCCTCCAACAACAACAATTAAAAAGAGAGCTAAAATACATACAAAAACAAACACATCAGTTAAAACATTGTCAGGAAGGAGGAATCACCGTGGAAATGCCAAACAAAACATAATGTCTTCACCCATTGGTGGCGTATGGCAACAAAAGGGAACAGACAAATCTCCCTAGGGAGCAAGAGTTCAGTACTTTGGTGCCATGACCAAGAAGGCCCTTTCCTGGGTTGCCACTTGTCTAATCTCAGAAGTTAGGGGCATCTGGCTTCCAGTGGGGATGATGTCGTCATGGGGAGTGAAGACACAACACAGCTAATTACCAACTAGGAGGGCTCTCTGGTTGGCAAAATCTCCCTAGATCAAAGGGAGATCAAAGAGATAAACCACGTGTACCTCTTTAAGTTGCTCCTTGAGTGTTTTCTGCTGAGCAGAGCCTTTACAGGTTTTACAGATACTTCCTGAGTTAGAGCGATCTGAGCTTTCTGAATTTACAACCTTGCTCACAGCTGTGTTTGGAATACTGAAAATTCTTGAAAAAGGACTAAAGCCTGACTAAGGACTAAAGTTTAAGATTTATGGACACAATTATCTACAGGCAAAGAGAGATATTCTTGAAGACAAGAGAGACAACCCCTGCTAAGGTAACCTCTCTCATGAGATTATAGAAACCTTTTGAAAGAATAATTTTGACAAAAAGTGTAATTAAGAAATCAGGAAAGCCAAATGGATGAGGGATTAATTTTCTCA